CAAGTTTCTCTGCACTGTGAAATTAGAAACCCATTAGTAAATCAACTATAAAGAACTGGTTCTTTTAAAGAAGCCATGAAACTCTTAAAATATTTTTCTTTTTTTTTATGGTCATTGTTTTATTTGTTATGGTGAAATAAAGTTGAACTCAGTATACATATTAAAATTATATCCTTCACCCTCCTATAGGTTGGGATATATTTCTTCTCCTTCCAGGATTATTCTCTCTATGCTGTTGGATGCTAGTAGAGCAGTGCCAAGATGGGCAATTTTCACAGCAGTCTTTTAGCAAACAAACAGAAATGCTATTTTTTGTAACCCTGATATATTGATAGTTGATTTGGCACATAACTTCCAAATATTTTAAAGAAATCTCAATCTCTACATTCTGATTAATCCAAAAAATTAATTTATCAGAATAAATAGAATGCATTCTAATACTTTCCTTTGTGGCTTCAGTGACTTTTGAAGATTTACCACACTATTCCCTTCAGAAATATGGACGTTAAAAATGCAATTAAAAAAAAGATCCTTTGATGGGGATTGTATGAACGGAGAGTAATTAATTGTCATAAAAAAATGATTAGTAGCTGCACAGATATTGAGGGGGTAGTTAACCATACTCTGATTAACATTCTAAGAGATTTTATACACAGTGCATTCAAACACACACACTGCATTCATTATATACACTCTGTAAATAAATATTCAAAAACATTTAACCTACTGATGCCTCAATTAATGTAATTTTATTGGGATCTATTCTTATTTTGAAATTTACCAGTAGCTGCTGCATTTCCCACCCTAGGCTTATACTTGAGTCAATAAGTTTTCCCAGTTTTTTTGTGGTAAAATTAGGTGCCTCGGCTTATATTCGGGTCGGCTTATACTACAGTATATACGGTAGGTTTATTTTTGATTCTAGTGATTGTAATAAAACTCCTTTCATATTTTTATTTTCCCTAATCCTATATGTAAATTCTATGGTTTCATTCAATAGTGGAAACCATTCAGAACAGATGTTTTGTCCTACAATTCTTGCTAATGGTGATTTATAAAGGGCCGTTATAGCCTTATGCATCCACCCATCTATGCCTATTCTTTTTAAAGTCAGACTCAAATATTCCCAGCCGACCCTGTCAAAGGCCTTCTCTGCATCCACTACAGGGTCAGCATGTGAAGGCGACTTCTACTTACTAGATTCAAAATATTCAAAATCTTTCTAGAGTTTATATTAGCTGTTCTATTTGGAATAAACCCAACCTGATCAGGATGTATAATATTGTCCATGACCTTTTTAAGTCTGTGTGCCAGTATTGATGCATATAACTTCAGGTCATTATTCAAAAGTGAGATGGGCCTATAATTTTCCATTTTAGTAGGACACTTGTCCTGCTTCAATATTGGTATTACATTGGCTCTTATTAATTCCTTTGGAAATGTTCCCGTTTGTGTTGCTTCATTAAACATTCCTACCAAATGAGGAAAAAGTCACTACATTTCTTATATAAAAGACCAGTATATCCATCTGGTCCCGGATTTTATTTTTCCAATCTATGTGTTGCCCTAGCTAATATCTCTTCTGTAATGCTCTTATTTAAATTTTTTGTTTGAGTTTTGGGAGTGTACTAGCCTGAAGATATTTTTCTATTAATTCTTTATCTCCATTTTTTAAGTTATATAATGAGCTATAAAAGGATTTAAAAGCTTGTGCTATTAAAGTTGGATTTTATATTGTGTTTTTTTTATATAATTTTTGAAATTCGACTATCAGCATTTTGTTTTGTTTTTTAGTCTATTTGAAAGGAGTCTGTTCGTCTTATTATTATTGTTATAATAGCTAATTTTTAATTTAGACATGTTAATCACAATCTTTTCTGAGTTTTAGATTTATTTTTTCTTGTATTTTAATTAGATCAGATAATTTATCATAAGAGGGATTCATTTTCTTTTCTTTAGATACCATAAAATTTAATATATAGTTCAGAGAGCGAGAAACCACTTTTTAAAAAGTAAAATAAAATAGCCCCTTATTACTGATTTTAAATGTTCACCAATTATTGGTCCATTATGTATCCTCTGGTTTATTAGTTTCAAATAAATGTTTAATCAATTTAGCCACTATTTCTTTGCGTTTTTTTTTTTTTTTAATTGAAAATCATAATTTCCAGATCGATCTTTTGCCTTTTCCATATTCATCCTTAAATTCCTGATATACTATATTTTATAATCCGACCATGAATTATCTTTAAAGGACCACTATAGTGCCAGGAAAACATACTCGTTTTTCCTGGCACCATCGTGCCCCTGGACCTGGCACCCAGACCACTTCATTAAGCTGAAGTGGTCTGGGTGCCTATAGTGGTCCTTTATTCCAGGTTTTGCTAATTTGTCCTAATACAGAATTGTCCCCTAGGAACAGATCTATCGTAGAGTAGGAAAGGTGAACAGGAGAAAGATGGGTATATTCAGTTTCTGTTGGATGAGTGATTCTCCATAGGTCAAAAAGATCATATTTACAATTCGTTCTATTTAAATTTTTTGCTTGTTTAATTGCTCTTGGATCTAGTATTGTATTTGATAGAATCTTTTTTTTTAATCTTCATAAGCATCCATTACACAATTAAAATATCCACCTATGATACAAAGACCCATCTTAATCTCTTCTTTCTTCCAAAATTTCTGTAAGATGCATACTGGTGCAGAGTTTGGAAGGTATATATTTGTTAAAGTATGCATCACTTCATTAATCTTACATATTCGTATTGGATATTGTCCCATGTGATCTGAATATTGATAAATAATTTCAACTTTTAAATATTGTGAGAATAGTATTACAATCCCATTTTGTTTATCTGGATTTGAAGCACTAAATAATAAAGGGAAATGTGTACCTCCTTTTGTCAAAAAGTTTTGAACTATGGATCTCTTTTGTGGGGAGTTTAACCCCTTAAGGACACACATGTGTGACATGTCATGATTCCCTTTTATTCCAGAAGTTTGGTCCTTAAGGGGTTAATCCCTGTACATTGATCGATGCTACCAATCCACCGTGACCCTCCATGCGACAATACAAAGACATAATACAACAAAACAAACATGTATTTACACCTCTCCATAGAGATGAGTGGGGGCTAAAAACAGTCCATAAGGAAAAAGGAACTCTGCACCCTTTGCTGGTTCCATCCAAACAAAATTTAAATAACCCAATTTCATTATACAGTCATTTATAGTGATGTTCAGAGGTAAGTAGGGGGAGCATTCTTACTGCTTAACATTTGATACCTATTTAACATGTCTGTCTCTTCCAATTTCATCTAGTCTAGTTTTACGCTCTTAAATACATTCCTTTAACCCAGATTTACTTTAAGCATAGGAAAAAAAAAAAATTCAAATAATTAAAGGAGCACTATAGGGTCAGGATCACAAGCATGTATTCCTGACCCTATAGGGTTAAAACCCCCATCTAGTCCCCCTCATGCCTCCCTAAGAATAGTAAAACTTACTTGTATTCAAGTCTGCAGGTGCATATTTTGTCCCTGTTTCCTTTTAGACCTGCCCACTGCCTGCTGACATCAGCAGAAGTGGTAGCCTGATCCATTCACAATGCTTCTCCATAGGATTGGCTGAGACTGACAAAGAGGCAGATCAGGGGCAGAGCCAGCACAATTCAAACAGCCCTGGCCAATCAGCATCTCCTCATAGAGATGAATTGAATCAGTTAATCTCTATGAAGAAAGTTCAGTGTCTGCATGCAGAGGGTGCAGACACTGAATGTTTGGATGCATTTTAGGCAGCCGTGACCCAGGAAGGATCTCTAACAGCTATCTGAGGAGTGGCCAGTGAAGATATCACTAAGCTGTAAAGTAAACCATGCATTTTCTCTGGGGAAAAAAAGCTAATGATTCTACTCACCAGAACAAATTCAATAAGCTGTAGTTGTTCTGGAGACTATAGTATCCCTTTAAGTAACTAAATGATTAAATGCCCCTTGCATCCATCCTCCCAGATGTACTTCCTCAAAGTGGGATGAAGGGGAAGAAGAGCGAGAGGGGACATTCCAAAAATAGTCAAACCTTCCTCATTTAGCAATTGCAAATTATCAGTGCAGTATAGTACAATAACAATGTTACTCTACTTATTTATTTAAATACATTGCCACTCTTATATGATTATTAATATTTTTCCCTCTCTTCCTTTCCCTTTTCTCTTCCTCTCTACCATCTAAAGTGTTTGTGCTTTATCAATCACATATCATTGACAGTTTATTACAGTGACATTTGTATATCCTCAGAAATTAGTGTATTCTTAAAAATTGGTGTCCTCCCACCATCACTCACCCCCCCTACCCCTGCCTCTCAGCACCTCACTTCGCGAGGGAGAGCGGAAAGAGAGGGCATACCACATTCCCCATTAAATGACAACACATTATCAGTACAATATAATTTCATAACACCATATATTGGAAATTAAGTGCATTGCCACTCTTAAATCTTTAATTACTTATCTTTTTTATTTATTTTTTTTTCTTCTCTTTCTCCTCTCTCTTTCCTGTGTCAATTTTATATTTTCAAAATTTTTATATTCCCCCCCCCTAAAAAAAGTGTCGAAGTGTAATTATTTATTCTGGTGTTTTAATAATATCTATTCCACCTTTACAACTCTTAGTGTTTGTGTTTTACCAATTGTGACTTATTAATTTATTTATTACAGTATAACTTTTATATCCAGTGGCACTAAATTAATTTCTCAGGTTTTATCCATCTGTCAAGACTTTGTTCTGTTTCAATATTGGGATTTTTGCAGTAAAAGTGTTACGCCATCTTCTTGTTTGATAGGAGAGATCTTACAATATTATAATGTTCTTAAATTCTGAGCTTTTTGTTGGGTGCTCTCTATACACTTTTAATAATTTCTATTTAAAGGAGTGGACCAAAAACTTCACCATTACATCTCTTGGTTTTGATTCATCTATATCTTTAGATTTTTATAAACTGTATATTCTCTCAATTTTTGATTCAAACATATCTGTGTGACGTAAGATCTTTTTAAGAAATTTACAACAAAGGCCTCTAAATTGTTGGATTCAATTTCATCTGGCATATATCGTATCCTTATATTCAATCGTCTTAATCTGTTTTCTAAATAATTTATTTTTAGATCCATATTTTTAACTCTCAACTCTAACTGTAATATCTTTTCTGCAGCTTTTTAATGATTTTGCTCAAAGGTATTGATTTTCTCTTCCAGTGTGGTTAATCTGTCTGCTACTTTGTTAATTTCCGGTTTGATTTCTTTGGAGTTTTTTGTTAATCTCAAGCATTAATGTTTGCAATTGAATTTCCAGATTTTGCTTTATGAATTCTTTTAAAATTTCTTGAGTTTTTTTACCCTCTTTATCTTCTCTGGTCAACATTATAGATATTTCAGATGTATTGGATGAATTTTTGGTATGAATTTCAGGAAAAAAGGCCCGATTCTTTTCTCCAATATATTTGAGCTTTAACATTTTTCACTTCCTTTTTCCTTTCAGTTGATTTTTTTTTTTTTTTTTTTGCCATTATTGGGTTTCTCCTCTGTTTCCTCTCTTTTCCCTTCACTTTTTTTTTTTTTTTGACCTTTATCTCCATATTTTTTTCTCTCCTTTTTATCTATTTATCTTCCTTTCCTTGTTTTGTTTTCTTTCAGTGTAGTATGATTCCTTTAAATTTGATCCTTTTTACAGCAAAGGAGTTAAAAAAAACACCACCAAAAAAATAAAAAAAGAGAAAAACAATACAAAAGATAGCAAAGGAGTAACAGTAAGGGGATATATCCTCGGTTTATAGAACCTTTCTTTTCTTTTATTTTCCTTTTTTTTTTTTCTTCTCTATAATTTTTCTATTACTCCGTTTCCTACTTTCTAATCTCAAACCTGATTGAGAGATAAGAGGGGCCCCTCAATTCTCAGCAAGTATAAGAAGCAGATCCCCCTTTGTAATCATCAAGGGAGAACATGGTATAACGGATCATCTGGCACCCCGACTGGGTACCTCCGCCAACACATGCTTCCTAGCTGACACGGAGGACCGTAAGTACCGCACCGTACACCAGACTCCACTACTGCCGTAGCTTAGCTGGGATCTCGCCGTCTTCCTCCCAACCTGGACCACCCTCTGATATCCAGGACCGTGTGGGAAAGACCTCTCCTACTCCAGAGAGCATAGCAGGAACAGCTCTTTTAAGAGCTAGTGATTAGCACCCAGGGCAGTATACAGAGTATAGCAATTCCTAGTGTGAATATAGCAGTATAGCCATTCCCCTCCAATCACGACACGAGGCTACGTGTTGGGGGTTAAGCAGGAACTCTCCTTTAATGGTGCCACACTGACCTTTTATGACAATCCCCAAGCAAGGTGTATTCCCACATGGACCTTGTTGGGGACTGGGACACAAACGTATACACCAATCACAATAGAGTTACAATCTAAGGAACTCCCCCACATAATACAATAAGCCTTCCCCTTTACTTAGGAGATGATTGAGTCAAGTACTATATTAAACTCCATTATCTCCAAACACAAAAAACACCAATTTTTACAAAACCCTTAAAACACACAAACTCACCACAAATATTACATCCCCTGATAGCCCTGATCTGGGTGACCAACATATCAAAAAATCACCCAGATCAGTTCAGGGGTTCATAAATATTATGGAAGTCATGTATTTGACCGACTGCAGGAATGGTCCCATGCCCAAAACTTTTCCAGAGAATCAAGGTTTTTGGCTGGTCTAGTTCGGTAGTTTGCAAACTAACAAACTACGGGACAGTCAAGTCTTACCCTGGAGCTTGTTCCCTTCGTCCAGACGATTGATCTCATCGAACAGTACCCTTCTAAGCTTAATAGAAATGAGCACAGACGACGATGGAAGTCCAGCGGTGTTTGGGAGTTTAGATTTCAGTTCCCTGAGATTCATGCCCAAACACCACTGTCTGCGTTCATGCGAACAAGATGGCCGCCACCTCATGGCTGTTCATAGGAATCGCGGCCACCCAGACGAACAATTAGAACACTGCGGTGAGAAACGTTCCAAGTTGTTAATAGGTGTTAACAAGTTCCAGGGTGGTCTCTGTTTGTGCAGTTGTTAGGTAAACTAACAATATAATCCCAATTGCACGAACAGAGCCTGTTTGAAGTATTTTAGCCAGATTTATTGCAGGGGCCATAGTCACAGGGTAAAAGGCTGGCAAGTAGTCCCGTCCAAACCTCAGTGGCGAAGTGGCTTTCACCACACGTGGTGTTCACTACTCACTCCAATGTGGTACAATACCACATTGCCAGATAGCCAGCCATTCCCTCTCTGCCATTTCACAAGCACCCTCCGTTCAAGCCTGATCTCTGATTCTCAGGTCTCTGCTTGCAGTCAAGCCTCTGCCCACTTTCTCCCCATCAGTCTCTCCCAGATCAGGGTGAAACACGAGGGTCCCTTCTTTCTCTGATCTGGCACAAAATCGCAGCTCTGGAGAGCCAGCCGTCGCTGACCTCCTGTCTCCCGCTGCCCGAGCCCAGGCTTCTGTCCTCCTCTCACCGCCCACAACCGGGTTTCTGTCTTCATCTCTCTCAAACGGTCTCACTCAGTTAGCCTTTTCGCTGTACGGCATTCTCAGTTCGGCTTCTCCCTTATCCTGCTCCATCTCCTCCCACCTGTCAGCGTGATGACCTTACGTCATGATGCTGTGCCAGATCAGAGGAAGGAGTGACCCTCGTGTTCCCCCTGAGCTGAGAGAGACTGACTGGGAGAAACTGGGCAAAGGCTTTACTGCAAGCAGAGACCGGAGAATTGGAGCTCAGGCTTGAACGGAGGGTGCATGTGGGATTGCAGACAGGCAACCGCTGGCCATCTGGTGATGTGGTATTGTACCACACTGGAGTGAGTAGTGAACCCCATGGTCTCCTTTTTTGATTTCAAAGGGGACTTGCTTATTATATGTGCTGAGTAAAGCAGTGAGTGTATTTTAGCGAATCTACCCTCTTTGAGCAAATTATTTAACTACAATCAATTTACTTCACTCTACATCTATAGCTATCCAACTGACTATTGGAAATCGAAGCTCATAGGAAATCAATATTAAAATACATTTCTAGCAGCTGTTACTTATCGATTTTATTAATTTATTTTCCCTTTTTTAAACTTGAAATTCTGGTTGATAAAAGGAATGAGTTGAAGAAGGAAAGTAGGTAAAAGGAAAAAGCGTTAGCTAGAGATATTACCCTCTTCCTGTTTGATAAAAACATCTATCAACACATATTATTCTCGCAAGAATAAAGGGAAACAAATGGAGCCTAGAAGCTCTCTGGGAAATATAGAAACAAAACAGGCTGTCACTGCGATCAGTATTTACTGTGTGTCTGCCGGTTTCAAATCGGCTGACACACATGTCCGGCTTTCTCCTGTGCAGATCGCGGTCGGGGACATACCTGGCCCTCCAGGCAGTCCCCCTGGGATCAGTGACCACGATCTGCACTGTCTGAGATCGCAGTGACAGCCTGTCACTGCGATCTCAGAGTGATTTGATCGCAGTGACAGCCTGCCACTGCGATCAGTGTTACATGTGTCAGTCTAATGGCTGATACATGTAACAGGCGCAATGGGGGAGTGCTTGTACCACCCAGGCACTCCCCCTTTGGTCAATTACCCACTCTGCAGGAGATGATCAAAGTGACAGCCAGTCACTGTGATCACTGATCCTGTGTGTCAGCCAGTGATGTGAAATCACTGGCTGACACTCTCTGCCCCTTTCCTGTAATAAAAATAAAATATTAGTTATAAAAAAAAATTAGTTACAAATAAAATACTTAGATCATATATATTTTATATATGATCTGTGTGTGTGTGTGTGTGTGTGTATGTATGTATATATATATATATATATATATATATATATATATATATATATATATATATATATATATATATATATCAAATATACACAGTCATACTAAGTGTATATATATATATATATATATATATATATATATATATATATATATATATATAAATAAAAATATGAAAACTTGTAAAAAAAAAAAATACTTTCAAATTTAAGGAAGAAATCATTTAAGATGATTTCCAATATTAATGCAATAGATTATAAAAAAGAGCAAAAGGGGAAGGGAGAAGGAACAAAGGAAAGAAAGAGAATTGGTATTTACAAATATTATACACTATAGGGTGGACAAAATGTAAATAAAGGTTTCTGCACTAATACACAGAGGTATTAGAGTGAGAATTCGAAAAGCACTAATACAGTAGAATAGTACAAAACGTAAATAGAAATTTAATTTATAATAAAGAGACACTAAACAATATGAGGTGATTAATAGAGACATAAATGTTTTTTTTTATTTTTTTTTCTCCCTTCTGTCTTTCCAGTATCTGAGTGGAAAATAGAAAGAAGTTCAATAGTTATAATTTTTAAAATATTCTTAGGAAGCACTGTGACAAACTGCCATTTGCCACTGGCTTTCTATGTGCCAAACTGCTCTGCTCCCCTGGCTTATGGAGAAGCCTGCTTACCAGCCTCTTGCCACATGACTATGGCCCTGGGGTGTATGGCCCTTTAAAACCATTTCTTGGTCTCTTGGACTTTTATTTGGACTAGTGCTGGCCCTTTAAAAACAGTGTATGGACATATTGAAACTTTTGGGACACTTTTTCTGCCCCTTTGAATCAATGGGAAGGTGTGCCTCATCCCCCTCCCCCTGTCCCATTGTTCTCCAGCAGGGCGTTGTTCCAGAGACACTGCCAAACCAGTTGGAACTGGCTGCTTTGTTCCCTTCTCTGTCAAAATATGACTTCCACCTATCTCCTGAACCACTTAACCGGTTCAAGTGAATTTTGGATATGCTTGTCCCCAAATTATGCTGGTTATAAAAATATAAGTTTTATTGATTATCGCATGTAAACTCACAAACTTACAAAAATGGCATAAAAGTATGTTTCTTTAGCTTGGTGATTGAGTTGATACAGTAATTAACTCAATTATCTCCTAAGCAGAGGGGAGGATTCTCATTGTAAAAAGTGGGTGTGCTTATCCATGTGCCTTTATTTTATTGGTTGTTACATTTACAGTTCCAGTGCCCCACAAGGTCCACGTGGGTGGTAACCTTGCTGGGAAACTTGCATATAAACTGGAATAAACGCTCAAAATGTAGCCTCGTCTCGTTATTGGAGGGAACTGCTATAATCACACAGTGGATTGCTATGCTCTGCATAGTCCCTTGAGCTTTAATCACTTAGCTCTTTTAAGAGCTCGTTCCTGATACGCTCTCCTGGAGGAGAGGTCTTCCCCACACGGTCCTGGAGGACAGCGGCCGATCCAGGGTGGACAGAAGACGACGAGACTCCAGTTAAGCAACGGCAGTTGTGGAGTCTGCGGTGGTTGTGGTGTCCAGTGCGGTGCTTGTGGTCCTCGGCTAGGAAGTGTCCAACGGAAGGTACTCGGTTTGAGTAAGGGTAGTTCCGTTACAAGCACGATTAGTAGTAAAGATTAATAGGAACTGTAACGGATCCCCTATACTCTAGCTGAGTATATCCGTGCAGAATCTCCCGAAATCCAAGTGTAGCAGAAGGTGTAGTGAATTACAGCTCCCAATCCCCCAAACATGAGCCAAGACTTCATGAAGGGGTAAAATGATCTGTTTAATGATTTCCACAGCTTGGCCTTTTATACAGGTCCTCCAGCAAGGGTTACTCCCACATGGACCTTGTGGAGGACTGGGGCACAATTTACAGTAACCAATCAACATACAGTACAATGTGATACACTCCCACAAACTGTAAAATGCCTCCTCTCTATCCTGGAGATAATTGGGTTAAGTGGCCATAGTAAACTTAATTATCTCCAGGTACAGAAAATATTTCCAAATTATAAATGTAACAAAACACATTAAAATACATAACTCCTCTTTCACATAACTGAACCCCCATATTCGACATATCCCCAGATAGCTTGGATCTGAGCGCTCAATATATCCGAAAAGCGCTCAGATCCTATGAACACAGTCAAATCGCCATGGAGCTAGAGTTTTCACCGACCGTTCGGCATACATCTGTCTAGAATAAGCTCTTAGCTATCAGGGTCGGTCTAGTTCATGAGTTTTTAATGTACTGAACGACGCTGTGTTCGTATGAACAGAAACTAAGGGATGGAAGTTTGGAAGTCCCAGCGGTGTTCGTGTGAAAGAGTGACCGAAAACAGTTCCATGCGGTCGATGACAAAACTGCACTGGGCGTTCGACAGTTTAAGATGGCCGCCGCCACGTGTTCGTTCATACGAACGGCGACCACCCAGCCGTTCGTCTATTAAGCTGCGGTTAACCACAGCTTCTGGGAGGTTAACAGGCTGCACACTCCACTTGCGGGTGGTCCGCCTGTTCGTCGGTTTGTTCGGTAAACGAAATAAGAGGGAATAAATAGTGCTAAATGCACAAACAGCATACGAAAAGGGCACTGGTATCCATAAAACAGGGGTTTTGTCACAGGAACTGTATTATAAAAACATTCCCTGATAGGGAATGTATTAATATAAGATGACCAAGATTTTTAATTTGATTGGAAACAGATTATAGGATAAGGTAAAATCCTTACTATACTTTGAGAAAGGACTAACTAAGGTCAGTGGCACATATTTTGAGGTGAACGTTATCTTCCTCCTCATTGTTTTTTTTTTTTTTTGGTAGATTTAAAAGGTTTTTGGTTGGCTGAGGGGAAAAGTAGAGAGAATTAGAATAGAATTAAAAGAAATCACGATAAAACCATGTATTTAATATTCTGAATACAAATAGGAATAAGAGGTCCTACACGTACCATGAGGTCGCCTTTGAGATTTCTTGATACAGTGTATATATCACTTGGTTATTTAGGAAAAAATCCACCCTTATGGTGGACCCAAAACCACTAATATGTAAATAATGCCAAGAACTTACATATATTTCTGAAAGTGCAAACAGAGCACCTTGGGCTAGATCTGTACGTCAAAAAAGATGTTCCCCCTACTAATCTACATAGGTTAATACAGACAAAGACAACAGTCAGAAACATAGAAACATAGAATGTGACGGCAGATAAGAACCATTCGGTCCATCTAGTCTGCCCAAAATCTGCAAATCTACATAGGTTAATACAGACAAAGACAACAGTCAGAAAACAGTCAGAAACATAGAAACATAGAAACATAGAATGTGACGGCAGATAAGAACCATTCGGTCCATCTAGTCTGCCCAAAATCTGCAAAAAAAAGGGGCCTGCTGACTAAGCAGTGAGTTGGTAAAAGGATTTCAAAATAAAGTCCACTCACATATAGCCTGAGTGTTAGCATTATTGAACATAGTGTTATAATGAATATTGTCCAGTAAAATGTCTATAGATAAAGAGTTTGTGAGGTACAGTTCCGCAAAGTCTATTCGCAATAATGTTACAGCTAACACGATGCACTGCTGTTATAGAGGAGTAACAGAAACTGTATTGTATCAAAAGCTGTTATAATATAACCAGAATGTGGTATTAGGAAGTCTGATACAGGAATACCTGTTTCCCAAAGTATGATGATATAACAGTCACTCTTGGATCACAGACACATATCTATAGTGATAGGATCTTCTCTGTGATCTGCAATATAGAACAAACAGTCCTAGTGCTCTCCATTTAGAATGTAGAAATTTATTGTAAAACAAAATAAAATACCCTCACAAAAGTGCATTGGAGTGGAGCAAATATAGGGTCCTTAGGAATCTACAGAATTTAGTGAATTAAACCTACTTCCTGCCAGCTGGGAGGTCTCGATGTTAGGGAAAAGATAAATTAACCTTTGCGTGCGTTCCACTGGGATTCAGTATCTAGATGCTCGTGCGGCTTTTCTGTGGATTTTTTCCTAAATAACCAAGTGATATATACACTGTATCAAGCAATCTCACAGACGACCTAGTACGTGTAGGATCTCTTATTCCTATTTGTATCCGTTTATTTTTGAAGTCTTTATGGGGGCTTTTTTTTACTAGTAGAGATCTGTGTGATAGCCCACTATTCAACTGGATAGAACCCCAAAGAACAAATCTCTGTCCATTATCCAATTTTTTTTTCCCCCACTCTAACAGGCCAGACTAGTCTGTCCATCTTCGCTTTACTGAATATTCTGAGTCTTAGAGGCAATAATTAAGGATAGTTTATTTTATTTATATATATAATTATTTTTATTTATTTTTTTACTCTTTCCCCTCCTCCTGTCTGATAAATTCTTTGGTTAATCCAGAGTAATAAATAAGGAGAGATATTAAGGACAGAAGAGTTTCAGATTGATTTGAAGATTTTCCTCTTCCTTCTCTCTCTCTCCCTGAAAGTACTCCAAATCCTGCGGTAGTCACAGGAAAAACCAGGCAGGATGGATAGACCTTTTTTTTTTTTATTATTATTTGTTTTATTAGTCGAATGAATGGTGTTTTATCTGAGTCCAAGACGAAACAAAGTGTGAATGGACACAGGGAAAGTATTGGAAAGTAAAACAAGGGGGTCGGAAATGGCATAATCAAACTATACATATGTCTTTGATATTTCTTGCCATCAATACAAAGGGCCTGAATTCTACATACAAAAGGGGATGTTTGTATAATTTAATGCAAGAGCAGAATATCAATGTGGCCTTTATCCAGGAGACACACTGGATTGAGGATCCTAAACAGTTGTGGAAATTTACTAGATTTCCAATGATTATCTCAGCAAAGTTCAAAAAGTAAAAGAAAAAGAGGGGCTTCAAAAAAAAAAAAATTTCGGGTAAACTTAAAGTTGAATTATTATACCAAGATAATGATCCAAATGGGCATTACCAGGTAGTTGTAGTAAATATTAACATTAGTAAATATTAACATACCCTGATAAATTTATATTTTCCAAACCAAGCAACCTTTAACTTTATTGACAGCCTATATTCTAAATTGGAAAAGTTTGTTGTGGGCTCCTTGATAATGGGAGGAGATTTTAATAGTATAGTTGAACCTAAATTGGACAAGAATAACACAAAGAAAAATAATGTATCCTTGGACACTAATTTTACTAAACTCCAGAGTTTTCTATGGCAAAATGAGTTATATGATTTGGAGGGTTTTTAATCCATCAAAAAGGGATTATAGCTTCTATTGGAGCCCCCACCAATCATACTCCCTTAATTGATCTATTTTTGACTAGAAATCAGTCATTGCCTCTAATAAAAATTAATATTGACCCAATAACATGGTCAGCCCATGCTCCTTTAATTATGGAGATAAACATTATTGAATATAAATTTAGATCCATATGGCGATTAAATGAAACAATAAAAACACACATTTTGAAGGAGGCACAAAAAGCTATAGAAATTAATGACAGTGGAGCGGTAACGGACTTAACACTTTGGCCAATGTTCAAATGTATAATGAGAGACCTATGTATTAAAAGAGAAGCTCATAAAAAAAAAACAAAAAAAAAACAAACTGATAACCTTCAACAGCTTTATGTAACATTGTCAAATTTAGAGAATAAACCTAACAACAATGTGGATGATAAAATACTTAATGAAATAAGACAACAGATTAATGATAAAATATTTTTGTTAATATTTTCAAATAATTTAAGACTAAAACAGAATTGTTATTACAATAATAACAGAATAGGTAAATCTTTAACAAATTCAAATGGAAAGCTGAAATTATCAAAATAATTATAGTAAAAGATGAGACATTTTTATCTCCTCAAAGGCATTTAGAGATTACTACAATCTATACAATTAAAAAAAAAACAAAAAAAACATTTCAAGCCATTAAATTATTTCCTTTCTTCAGAAGTTGAAATTACCAAAGATCAGTGAGGAAGACCTAGAAGTATTAAATCAGCCAATCTCAATAGAAGAGGTAACAGAAGTTACAAGAACACAAATCTTAAACTAAATAAGGCACCAGGTCCAGATGGATATACTGCTATTTTCTTTCAAAAACTTCAACCCATAGTAGCTCCCTTGCTTTTTGAGTTTTTTTTTTCTATTTTTCCAACAATGCATAAATTACCTGAAGAAGCCTTACAAGCCTTTATTCTCCCAATTCCAAAAGAAGGCAAGGATTTAACTATAACTTCTAACTATAGACTGATTTCTCTAATAAACCTTGATGTTAAAATGTATTCAAAGATACTTGCAAATAGATTAAAGCAGGTAATATGGTATTTAATACACTGAGATAAATCTGGGCTCGTCAGGGCCAAAGGTGCTCCAGATAATATACGTAAACTCCTTAATCTCATCCATGGAGTCGATCGGAAAAATATCAAAGCAACCAAAAAGGCCTTTTGATAGGGTGAATTGGAAGTTTATGCATCTTGTCATACAAAAAATTTGTTTGGTGGGTTTATTTAGAGATAGTAATCAAAATACTGTACTCCAACCCATCTGCAAAAGTAATTGGCCCAGGGACGATGTGGGAAAACGTTAATATCACAAATGGAACTTGACAAGGCTGCCCTTTAGCACCAATGCTCTATATTATGACACTAGAACCTTTAGCAGCCTTAATCAGACACTCAACAGAGGTACAGGGAATTAAAATCGGTTCGGTTGAACATAAATTTACCTTGTTTGCAGATGACGCCCTACTGACCCTGATGAATCCCTAAGGATCTATCCCAGCTGTAATTGAAACAGTAGCCGAATATAGCAAATCTTGTAATTATGAGGTTAATATTGATAATACAATTTATGTCCTTTGGCTTACACTCTAAGGAAATTATTTATTTCAGATCATTATATACAGTGCCTTGCAAAAGTATTCACCCCCTTGCCATTTTTTGTGTTTTGTTGCCTCACAACCTGGAATTAACATGGATTGTTTGAGGATTTGCATCATTTAATTTACAGAACATGCCCACAACTTTGAATATTTTGTAGAGCCACCTTTTGCAGCAATCACCGCTCCAAGTCGCTTTGGATAATTCTCTGAGCTTGCCCCATCTTACAACTGGGATTTTTGCTCATTCCTCCTTGCTCCAGCTCCTTCAAGTTGTATAGTTTGCGCTTGTGAACAGAAAGCCATCACACTAGCAGATCCCATTAAGTCATTGGAACATTTAATGGTAGAGTTTACTGAATATTCTGAAGCTTCTAATTTTAAGATTAACATAGAGAAATCAATTATTATGGGCTGTAATTTAACAGAGATTAAAAAAAAATGCAATTAAAACCAAATATGGCTTTGTATGGTCTAAAAAAGTAATAAACTATCTAGGAGTGAAGATGGCAAAAAAATTAAAATCAAATTTGTATGGAAACACATTTTTTGAAATTATTAAAAGCCACAAATCATACCCTGAAAGACTGGAAAAATGTGTAAGTATCGTGGATAGGCAGAGCAAATATCATTAACTCATATCCATAACCAAAATGGCTATATTTATTTCAAATGTTCCCTCTCAAATTTCCAGATAGTTGGTTGAAGATTATTCAAATGAGTTTTAATCCATATATTTGGAAGGGGAAACAACCAAGATGAAATCTTCCATTGCTTTCTAGAAAAAAAGAGAAAGGTTGTCTAAATGTCCCTAATATTAAGTATAGCTATTTTGCAAGTACAGATAAATATATTCTCTTCAGCTGGAGACTGAACTTAACAAAAACTTGTATGTGATGGAAATGAATAGTCTGAATTAATCTAATGTATTTCAAATAATATGGAATATTTATCATACACCCCTACTTCATATTGAAAATTATATTTTAAGACTTGAGATTTGGGATTCTGTTACGTTCTAGATCTTAAGGTAAATATTTTTAGCTTTATGCCATTGGAGGAAATTTGGAAAATGTTGTCTTAACAAACTGGAAAAGATATTACAACTATAGACCACCTAAAAGAAAATACTAAAAATCAGTTTTTAGATTTAACAAAAGTTTTTAATCTCACTTCATCTGAGCTTTTTACCTACCTAAATGTAAAGTATAGATTGATGCAACATTTAAGGTTTAGTAAAACAGGAATAAATTAGGATTTATGGGGCATGTTTAACCAAAATAAAGTTTATAACGTTCTCTCCAAAGCATGGAGTATGATAAAAATAAATAAAAATGAGGATTAAATTAATGCTTTAGTAAAATGGGAAAACAAATTAAATATTCAAATTACATATATAGAATGGTATAAATCATTACTAGAGACAAGGAAAGCTATCCATGGTATAAGCTTGCAGGAGACTCAATATAAACATATCAACAAGTGGTATCTGGTACCTTCAAGGATAGCTAGAATGTTTACTTTGTCAAGTGATTTTTTTTTCTGGAGGTGTGAAAAGAGTAGAGGTTCATACATACATATTTGGTGGAGCTGTACTGAAATAAAGAAGCAATGGGAAAAGATTTTTGTTCTTATATATAAAATGATAGACTATAGTCTTAGAATTGTGCCAGAGGTAGCCTTATTACATTTGAGACGGCCTAAGTTCAAAAAGAAGGAAAGAAATTGCATTATACATTGTTTTGTAGCTTTTAAAATTCTAATGACCAGAAACTGAAAAACTAAAAACGTCCCAATATGGAAAAATATAATAAATAAGTTATTTCAATCCTGAATGAATTTGGCAATTAATAAACACTCAAAATATATCAATGAACAAGACAATGTAGAGATGAAAGATCTGTTTAAGAAATTACAGCCTACAGATCAGGTAAGTGAGGGTTGGGGGAGCAGCCTACAGATCAGGTAAGTGAGGGTTGGGGGGGGCAGCCTACAGATCACGTAAGTGAGGGATGAGGGGGCAGCCTACAGATCCGGTAAGTAAGGGATTGGGGCAGCCTACTGATCAGAAAGGAGAAGGAAGGGACATTAAAGGAACACTATAGGGTCAGGAACACAAACATATATTACTGACCCTATAGTGCAAAACCCACCATTTTTGTGGCTTGGCTCCCCCGCCCTCCTTATGGCCCACTTAAATATAAATAAAACTCACCTTATTTCCAGTGCAGCGCGGGTCTGCCGGCGCTGGCCCTGCCCCGCATTTTAATCAATGCATCTCTATGAGGAAATTCAGCGTCTCAATGCAGAGCGGTATTGCTGCCTACTGTGCAGCACTGAGCCAGGAGGCACCTCCAGTGGCCATCTGAGGAGTGGCCACTTGGAGGTTTCCCTAGGGGGCAATGTAAACACTCTTTCCTCTGAAAAGCCAGTGTTTGCATGAAAATGCATGAAGGTAATGATTATACTCACCAGAACAACTACATTAAGCTGTAAGTTCTGGTGACTATAGTGTCCCCTTAAGGAGCACAAAGGGACAGAAAGTGTCAGCAAGGAGCTGGAAGGGGCAGAAGAAGCACAAAGGTAAAGGAGCAGAAATAATTAGTAGGAGCACAATGGTAAAGTAGGAGAAAGGGCTGCAAAGAGCCCAGCGGGGCAGCAAGAAGCAGAAAGAAACAGAAGGAGCACAAAGGTAAAGTATGAGAAGGCGCATAAAGAGTCAGCAAGGAGCTGGAAGGGGCAGAAGGAGCAGAAAGGAACAAAATGAGCAGGAAGGGTCTGCAAGTAGCAGGAAGGGACATCAAGGAGCGGAAAGGGTCAGTAATGAGCTGGAAGAGTCAGAAGGAGCACAGAGGTAAAGTAGGAGAAGGAGAAGAAGGCAACAGAAATAAGCAGAAAGGAACAGAAGGAGCACAAAGGTAAAGGAGCAGAAATAATCCAAAGGAGCACAAAGGTAATGTAGGAGAAGGAGCAGAAATGGACAGAAGGAGCAGCAAGGAGTAGAAATGGACAGAAGGAGCACAAAGGTAAAGTATGAGAAGGCGCATAAAGAGTCAGCAAGGGGCAGAAGGAGCAGGAAAGGTCTGCAAGTAGCAGGAAGGGTCTGCAAGGGGCAGAAGGAGCACAAGGGTAAAGTAGGAGAATGAGCAGGAAGGGTCATAAGGAGCAGAAGGAAGCAAAAGTAGCAGAAAGGTGAAGGAGCCAAGGAGAAGAGAACACAGTGTCATAATTGACTTTGCCAAATGAAGGAGAAGAGAAGAAGATTGCTCCAAGGACAAGTGATGTGATCCCTCTGCTTAATTCTGGACACTCCATCACAAGGCTTTGGTCCCTGGGCCTGGCAGGAAAACTTTGGACCTTCTCATCTCCCCAGGTAAAAACCCATATCAGTGTTAATGTGTTCACTTTCATTTACGGAGTGTCAGGAAGCACAGAGTGCCACTAGTAGGGGTGCAGCAGATTGGTAGCTGGCACTCTAAGCCAATACCTAGATCCCCATTCATAAAAAAGTAAAACTTTTTTTTTTATAAGCTGGGAACTAGCGATTGGCTTAGAGCATCAGCTGACCACTCTAGCCAATCAGCGGCACCCATGCCTGACGTGAAACTGCACTTCCTGACACTCTCTTTCAAAAGCCGAAAACCACTGAGCGATCTGGAGCAGGAGGAAACCTTTGGGCTTAAACCATGTGAGAGTAGTTTAACCCATTAAAGGAAAGAGAGTGCCCAGGGGCCTCCTTGCATCATAGCAGTTTCATTTAGATGAAGTTGTTATGGTAACCAGAATGTTCCTTTAATTTGCTTAAAGGAACACTATAGTGTCAGGAATACAAAAAAAATTCCTGCTGACGCCCATGCGCCGATCCACTGTGAGACACACGTAATGCTATATATGTTATTTGATAAATGTTTGTACTTATATGCCTGATATATGTTTAATTTATAGTCCTAATCTAATTGAAATGAACTGAATTGTTGAATTGTATGTTATTTGTACATGTCATATAAAGAAAACAATTTAATAAACAGAATAAAAAAAAGTAAAAAGCCAGCAGGTTCCCACTATCTAAGATAATCATTTTTGTCATCCTTGGGGCCCATACTTGAGATGTAGAGGATATCAAGGGCTCCACATCTAGATTACCCTTTTGATTATGGTAAATCTTACTTATATTCATTAAACAAAACCAGGAGTTTAAAACACTGAGAACAGGCAAAAGATCAAGCCGTTTACCTTTTTAGTAAGATTCCATTCAGGTCAGAGACCCTACTTGAGGAAAGTGTCAATAAAACCTATCACTTGGCAGAAGGGCACAGCGTCATGACGTAAGGTCGTCACGCTGACAGGCGGGAGGAGGTGGAGCAGGATAAGGAAGAGGCCGAACTGAGAATGCCGTGTGGCGAAAAGGCTAAGTGAGACAGTTTGAGAGATATGTAAACAGAGCAACGAAAACAGAAACCCGGTTGTGGGCAGTGAGAGGACAGGAGCCTGGGCTTGGGCAGCGGGAGTGCGTGAGACTGGAGGTCAGCGATGGCTGGCTCTCCAGTGCTGCGATTTTGTGCCAGATCAGAGGAAAGCCTTATACAATGCTTTCCTATGGGGAAAATCTGACGCTGGAGGACCATGAGGACGTCAGCGTCAGATAATGGACCAAAAGTTTTAGATTCTGGAATACCTCTATTGGCTGTTAGCCACAGATGGCAGACTTAGAGCTGCAATATAAACATTGTAGTTCTCTGGAACTGCAATGTTTTACATTGCAGCACTAAGTGCTAAAGGGTCACAGACTACTACAATTAGCTGACATGGTCTGGTTGCCTACAGTGTCCCTTTAAATTGAAATGTTTTTCTGGCATTATTGAATCATTCGGAAAGATTATGCAGTGTGGGCTATAATCTAAAGGCTATGATGAGTACTTTAAAAAAGAGCAGGGGAAAATTTGAAAGTAATATCCTTTGAGAGAATTTGGCAGAAAAAAAAAGTAATGTTTAATTAGGGAAGATTCCAATGATCTGGAAAGGAATAGTATAAAGTAAACAAAAGTTAGGGTGGCTGTTACAGTGTTTCGTTAAAATAGAGGTTATAGCTCCAGTTGCATATAGTGAGGCTGGGTGGAATAAAGAGGTAACAGAATAATTTATGTACTACTGGGAGGGGTAGGGTAGGAGATAAAAACAACCATGCAATGTCAAAAAATGAATTTTGCCAAACAGATTCTACTTTACAAAAAAGTAATTTACTTCTACCGTAAATACAAAAAAAACCCAGTATATAGAGTGTAACGGATCACCTGGCACCCCGACTGCGTACCTCCATTAAAAGGACACTCCAGGCACCCAGACCACTTCTGCCCATTGGAGTGGCCTGGGTGCCAACTCCCACTACCCTTAACCCTGCAGGTGTAATTATTGCAGTTTTTATACACTGCAATAATTACTTTGCAGGGTTAACTCCACCTCTAGTGGCTGTCTACTAGATTATCTGTACTATAGCGTCGCTGGATGTCCTCACGCTATGTTAGGAACTCCAGCGTCGCTAAAATCCCCATAGGAAAGCATTGAAAAGCATTTTCAATGCTTTTCTATAGGGAGGTCTAATGCGCGGGCGCGGCATTGCCGCGCATGCGCATTAGGTCTCCCCCGCCAGTGGGCGTGATCAGTCTCCCCCGCCGGCTGATGTGATGAAGAGGAGGAGCGTGGGTGGAGGAAGAAGCAGTGACGAGGGACCTCGTCGCTGCCTCTGGTAAGTCACTGAAGGGGTTTTCACCACTTCAGCAACCGGGGATGGGAGGTGGGAGAGAGGGGACCTGCAGTGCCAGGAAAACAGATTGTTTTCCTGGCACTGGAGAGTCCCTTTAATGGATGCTTCCTAGCTGACACAGAGGACCATAGGCACCGCACCGGACACCGCAGACTCCACAACCACCATAGTTTAACTGGAATCTCGCCATCTTCCTTCCACCCTGGATCAACCTCTGACATCCATGGCCGTGTGGGAGAGACCTCTCCTCCAGGAGAGCTTAACAGGAACAGCTCTTAAAAGAGCTAAGTGATTAGGACCCAGGGGAGTATACAAAGTATAGCAATCCCAAGTGTGATTATAGCAGTTCCCATCCAATCACGAGACAAGACTACGTGTTGAGGGTCAAACAGGAACAGAAAGTTTAATGGCACACACTGGTCTTTGAAAATTGAGGTTATTGGTTGAAGTCGATTTTGCATGTTGGACAACAGAACATGTTTAGCTGTATAGTAACATTTTGAGTTCTTTAGATGTATGTAAATCCACACATTATGTGAATTGTAAGATATTATTGATATGACTGATTATACATGTGTAAAAATGTCTATTGCAAAAATTATTTGACTATGTGCAGTTTTATCTTGGTAGCCTTCCATGTCAAGCACTAATCGTATTGTTACACATGACCTACCTGTTAGTGTTATTCCAAGAAGACTGTGGAATGACTTTTCAGAACCCAGCATTCCTAACTTTGATGTAAGTTGTTCTTCTTTCTTTTTTTTTTTCTGTTAGAATTGATATATGCATTAACCCCTTAAGGACTGAGCCAAATGTACACGTTGTGAACGAAACAAAATGTAAACAAAACCAGGCATTTGCGCTACATGTCTGTCCAACCGTAATTCACCTCTTTCATAGTAAATGCACCCCCCCTTATTATATATCATTTTATTCAGGGGAAACAGGGCTTTCATTTAATATCAAATCTTTAGCTATGAAACATAATTTAATATGAAAAAAATGGGAGAAAATAAGAATGTTTTAATTTTTTTTAGTTCTACATGCCATTTTAACTGTCAATGTCATAATACTGTTTGCTTTTACTGCAATAAAATACACATATTTGTATTCAGCAAAGTCTCACGTGTAAAACAGTTCCCCCTATGTACAGGTTTTATGGCGTTTTGGGAAGTTACAGGGTCAAATATAGCCCGTTACATTTGAAATTGAAATTCGCCAGATTGGTTATGTTGCCTTTGAGACTGTATAGTAGCCAGGAATGAAATTTACACCCATAATGGCATACCATTTGCAATAGTAGACAACCCAAGGTATTGCAAATGGGGTATATCCAGTCTTTTTTAGTAGCCATTTGGTCACAAACACTGGCCAAAGTTAGCGTTAGTATTTGTTTGTGTGTGAAAAATGCAAAAAAATGCCAATTTTGGCCAGTGTTTGTGACTAAGTGGCTACTAAAAAAGACTGGACATACCCCGTTTGCAATACCTTGGGTTGTCTACTATTGCAAATGGTATGCCATCATAAGGGTAATTTTCATTCTCGGGCTACCATAGGGTCTCAAAGGCACCGTAACCAATCTGGCGAATTTTAATGTGAAAAAAATGAAACGCAAGCCTTATATTTGACGTTGTAACTTTTGAAAACACCATAAAATCTGTACATGAGGGGTACTGTTGTACTCGGGAGACTTCGCTGAACACAAATATTTGTGTTTCAAAACAGTCAAAAGTATCACAGCAATAATATCGTCCGTGTAAGTGCTGTTTGTGCATGAAAAATGCAAAAAAACTTCACTTTTACTGGCGATATCATTGTTGTAATACATCTTACTGTTTTGAAACACTAATATTTGTGTTCAGCGTAGTCTCCCGAGTAGAACAGTACCCCCCATGTACAGGTTTTATAGTGTCTTGGAAAGTTATAGGGTTAAATATAGTGCTAGCAAATTAAATTCCCTTTACTTTCGGCATGGGTTGTCAGGCAGGTCCCGCTAATTGTAATTAAGATACCTAATTATGTAAAAATATTACATAAATATATATGTAGAATTAAAATATATGTGTGTGTGTGTATGTATATGTGTGTGTGTGTATAGTGATATATACGTATATATTTATGTATGTAGATATATATTATTTCGTTCTACGTGTATTTTGATATAATATATATATATATTAATATCACAATACAGTTAGAACGAAATAACACACATCTATATATTTTTTAATTTATTTAAATTATTTTAATTTTATTTTTTAGCGTATTTACATATTTATTTTTTTTATATTCTATATAAATATATATAACAATAATTATATATATATATATATATATATATATATATATATATATTTAATCTGTATCAGTCTACATGTAATTTGATATTAAAATATATATATAAATATATAAATAGTAAAATACACCTAGAGTGTATGTATGTGTGTATATATATACTTAGATCATATATATATATAATATATATGATCTAAGTATATATTTATTTTTTTACACTAATAAATTTTATTTTAATTTTATTTTCAGGCAGCAGGGGGACCACCTGTCATTAATCAATGCAGGAGGCAGCTACCCCCGGCCATGTGATTGTGGGGTCCTCGCAAGGACCCCACTCTCACATGGCCGGGGGGCACCGGAGGGGAAGGATCTACCGCGGGGGGGGCAGAAAGAGGCAGTTCACAGGCAGAGGCAGCAGCTTCAGACTTGAATACAAGTAAGATTGTAATATATATATTGTAATTGTAATATATATATAATTTGCAAGAAAAAGTATGTGAACCCTTTGGAATGATATGGATTTCTGCACAAGTTGGTCATAAAATGTGATCTGATAATCATCGATTATCAACGATAGACAATCAGTCTGCTTAAACTAATAACACATAAAGAATGAAATGTTGCCATGTTTTTATTGAACACACCATGTAAACATTCACCATGTAAAAAAAAATATATATATATATATATATGTGTGTGTGTGTGTGTGTGTGTGTGTGTGTGTGTGTGTGTATGTATATATATATATATATATATATATTTGTACGGGATTATAAAAGGGGCGTATACTTAAAATGGAGAGTTATGTTTTGAAAATGAGAGTCGGTTGAGGTGTGCCGAAACCGACGAGAGGTTAGGCCTGTAAAAAAGAGGGCCCACCCTGAATTATTGATATTTAAAAAGGGTGTGGAGGGAGGGGATTTCCGGAACCGACGAAGACAGGTAAGTGAGGGTTCCCTGGGCTTAAATAGGCCTAAATCCCTCCCACAATTACAGGCATACGCCTTCTATTTGTGTACGGGATTATAAAAGGGGCGTATACTTAAAATGGAGAGTTATGTTTTGAAAATGAGAGTCGGTTGAGGTGTGCCGAAACCGACGAGAGGTTAGGCCTGTAAAAAAGAGGGCAAAAAATAAGAGAAACAAACATTTATTAACACAACATTATTTAGACATGTTACAAAAAGCAAGTCTGATCTCTTTCTCCGGGTTTGGAATGTACTGGTTATACGCGGAGGATTTCCAGCGGCCCATTTTCTTTATAATATGTGTTGGCACTTGACTACTTGAGGCAGTTGTGGCTGCTCCAATGCGGAATGAGTGTCCTGTGAAGGAGTTAGGATTGAGGCCTAGTCTGAGGAGTAAAGCGCGGATGTATAGCATGAATTGTTTAGTGGTGAGAGGCTTACCTTGTAGGGTCAACAGAGGCAAATCTGGATTTTTAACTCGTTGACTCAGTATGAACTTATCTAGTACTTGTACTGGGCACCAGATGGAACCGGTAGGAAAGTATTTAATGTCTACTGGGGGACCTGATTGGTTAGTTTTTGTGCGGGGAATAGATAATATGAAATGATCATGTACTCTAGTTAGGTTTCCTTGTTTGAGACAATTTTTTGTGTCGGATATTTTCTCTACTGAAAATTCTTTAGGTCTGAGGAACCCAAAAAAGGCCAGATACGCTGCTGTCTTAATTACTAGGTTAGTGTTATATTCAAAAGGATTTTTATCTAACAGATTGGAGATATCTTTAAAGAGGTTACTGTCTATGGGGAGTCTTTTCAGGGCTACATGTGCCTTTTGTCTCTGGATACCCTTTAGTATACTTTTAACAGGGTATGTGGACAAGAAAGGGGACTTGTTCGGGAAAAGAATTAGCATGAAATGTTGTACCCCTGTTAAATAAAGTTTTATGGTATTGTAGGCTAGTTTTAATGAGAGGTGGCAAAAACTTGAGAAAGCAACCATAGTTTCTACAGAAAAACAGTTTATTATATTGAAATCTCGTACAAATTTTTTGAACAGGTCAAATGCCCTATCGTAAGCTTTTTTTGTGTTTTCCGACAAGGCTGCGTGTGCAAGAATTCTACTATGTTCTAATAATTGATTTAGAGCATGATTAGGTCTTTGAATTGTGGGGGATTTATGGAGTGTTTGTTTGCTGTAGGGTGTAGATTGAAGAATTCCTGCAAATTAAAACGAGACAAAGCATCAGCTGCGTTATTTAAGACACCAGGGACATGGATACAATGCATATAGAACTGTAAATTTGCAGCCAACCAAGTAAGTTTCCTTACAAGACTCATGATTGGTAGGGACTGAGAACGGCCCTTGTTAATTATGTCGCATGCTGCTTGGTTATCAGAGTAACATTTCACTGCTTTCCCCCTCCAATGATTTCCCCAGATGAGAGCTGCCGCTACTATTGGGAAAATTTCGAAGAACGCAGAGGTTTTGTCGAAATTCTCCAGGGTAAGTGTTTCGGGTGGCCAACTGTCGTACAACCACTCGTCCTCAAATATAGCAGCGTACCCGGTGGTAGCTGCTGCGTCTGTCCAGATAACCGGGGACTCATCTGATATGGGGGGAATAAAAAGTGACCTACCGTTCCAAGTTGTTAAAAACAGTTCCCACATATTAAGGTCGGCCCTCGCAGGATTATCTAGATTAATTCTAGTGCCGTCGTCAGGGAGGCCGTGTAGGAGAGACAGAAGCCTAGAGATAAAAGACCTGCCTTGAGGGACAATTCTCATGGCGAAGTTAAGGGAACCCAAAAGCGACTGTAACTCTTTCCTGGTACAAGACCCTTGGTTGGTGCAGTTGTGAATGTTAGTAAGAATTCTGTCTACTTTCGTCTGAGGGAGGCTAGCTTGCATAGTCGCGGAATTAAGAGTGATGCCTAGGAAAGTTATTTCTGTACTGGGACCCTCTGTTTTGTTTGGAGCTACCGGGACTCCTAAGTCATTAAATAGGGATAGTGCATTATTTAGACTATGTGGCGTGTAGTGGCTAGGCTCGATATATAAAAAGTCATCGAGGTAGTGAATTACTACTGGGCACCTGGAATTGTTTAGTAGTAGCCAGTTTAAGGTTTCTGCGAATATATCGAAGATTTTTGGGCTACTTTTGGAGCCGAAGGTCAGCCTGGTCGCAAAATAGTATTTCCCTTCCCACTTAACACCATGAAGGTGCCAGAGAGACTGTTTAATTGGTAAGAGTTTGAAAGCGTTTGAAATATCAGTTTTGCTCAACCAGGCTGCCTCGCCCGAATTGATGATAGCTTGTATGGCGTCGTCTATTTTTGCGTACTGCAGTGAAAAGTCTTCTGATGGTATGAGAGAATTTAAGCTTGGGGCTGTGGAAGTATGAGGTGCTGAAAAGTCGATTATTAACCTTTTTTTATTGTTAAACTTGCCCGTGGCTATACCGAGTGGACTGGTTCTCCAGGAGGTGAAGGGTGGAGTAGTAAAGGGACCTATCATGAAACCAAGTTCAATTTCTTTATTGAGGAGATCCGTTAAAGTGACTGGGTCTGTAACAGCTGATTGTAGGTTGGGGCATTCTAGTATGCCTGAAGGGAGTGCTACCAAACCTGTGTGAAAGCCTGTCGTGAAACCTGATACGAGAAAGTCTGTCAAGTAGGAAGAAGGATGTACAGTCAAGTAACGTTGTAAATTGTTTACGTTTATTGGGGTCATAGCTTTTTTAGGGAACAGTTTGTTTGGACACATGGTTTTCGCATGTGCTCTGAAACAGATTGAGCAAACATGAAGCAATCTACAAGCGCTGTAACTACAGCCTCCTGCGTTAAAGTTGTTACAGACTTGAGCTTTCCCGAGAAATACTATAGGTCTCCCCAACTTATCTTTCATTTCTCTTTGATTAGGGAAATAATCCGGACTGGTACTACTATTAGACGGACCACTTATATTATTTGGACAGAAATTTGCCGTATGAGACGCTGAGGCACATATTGCACATGCTGGTGTTTTAAGCCCGGCAAAATGTCTACAGAATAATTCTGTATCCAATTGACTCCAATCGGTGGGGGTGTTGAACTGGGCCAATGATGCAGCTGACTTGGCAGCAAAGGACTTATGGTAGTCGTAAAACGCGTACCCCCCGTATTTATAGGCTAACTCCACCAGTTTGTGCAGATATAGATCCAGCTCTTCTCTACGGTGTGGGAAGGCAGTGCAAATTACGTCTCTATATAGGCCAAAGGCTAGTACAAACTCAGGAATATTAAGTTTTTTGTTGAGCCTAGGATCTCTAGTTTTCATTACCACGGAAATATCGCCGAAAGTATAGGCTCTATTTTCGATTATATCCTGTGAGGCAATGAGGAGAGAGGCTAGATTAACATCTTTCCCTTCTAGTATATCTCTTTTTAAGTTTTGTGGTATCAAATGTACTGGGTTGATTATATTAGATGTTTTAGCAGGGAAAGGATTGGAGTTACCTCCTGAGCTTGTTTCTGGTTGTCCTAGTGGGACTTGTACTTCCGGAATGCTAGCTTGACAAGAGGTTTCCAGATTATCTAATCTATTATTTATGGTAGCTACTGAAGCCACCAGGGAGGTCATCATATTACGTAATTCTGACAAGCTATTTTGGATCGTAGCATCGGAACTGGGGCCTGGTAACTCTACGTCTTGCGAGTTTAATAAGCGGAAAAGTTCAGCTTTTCTGGCTGTAGCCGGAAAAGGAATGTTCCTTTTATTCAGTTCAGCAGTGATTTTTGGGACAGTCCAGGATCTGTAGTTGGACATCGTACTGGACTGTCTTGGCTGACTGCCAGGTCTGGAGGGAGTGCTGGCAAGTGACAGGTCTTCTTCTTGAACTGACTCGTTAGACATGCTAAGGGCGTGAAAAGAGATGTTATGTTAGGAAATAACTTTATTTTTTATTTTTTATTTTTTTTTTTTTTTTTATGTGAGTGTGCTGGCTGACTAGCTAGTGCCGCTCTGCGGCGAAGCAATTACACTAAGCCGGTGACTGGTGAGGCCCTGCTAAGTGCCAAGCGGCTTGAGAGGCTCTATCTATGAGTTGGCGCAAGGGAATTTCGTGGCCACCTAACGTTGTGGCGGGGTGTTGGCCTCTCGATGAGTAGTAGTCATAAGATAGAATGGGAGTGACAGGTGAGGCCCTCTCTATGCCACGTGCGAGGCGGCTACCTATGGATTGGCCCGAGGGACGTAGTACCTCTGAATTGAGGATGGGTGTTGGCCTCGCAGGACCACTATTTTAAGGCGAGAGAGCCGGGATGATATTTAACACTACTGGGTTGCTATGACCTTAACAGCCAGCCACCTAAACTACGAGGGATGATACGTACGAAAAAGAAATAAATAAACGTTCGTTATCCTTACCTGTATGTGAACTTGGTACGTACTTGAGTCGCACTAATGAGTTTGTATGGTCGGGTGGTATATATTTTTTTTTATTTTTTTTTATTACCTGAGCTGAATCACCTATTGCAAAAACAAAAACAAATGGGAGGCGTAAACTAGGCGAACTAGCTAATAAAAATTTTTTTTTTTTTTTTTTTTTTCACTAACCGGACCGTGAACGTGAAAACCTGCGTAAATTGGTAGTACTGAATGACGAAATTGAATTCAGTTGTTGTAATCACCCGAGCAGACGTTCGTGAGCTCTCACTGAAGGCGTGAATACTCTGTGATGTGAAGGAAAGTAATGACGTCAGAGGTCTGCAGCGCACGGAAGCGAGGAAGCGGATTTCGGAGGAACCGGCGAAGACAGGTAAGTGTGAGGGTTCCCACTGGGCTTAAATAGGCCTAAATCCCACTCCCACAGGTACAGGCATCGCCTTCTATATATATATATATATATATATATATATATATATATATATATATATATATATATATATATATATATATAATATGTAATATATATATATATATATATATATATATATATATATATATATATATATATATATATATATATATATATATATATATATATGTGTATGTATATTAGTATGACTGTGTCATTTAAGAGGTTCAGAAAGGTCTCTCTAACCCAAAATTTTTTCAGGATAATCATCCAATCTCCAACAATTAACATGTTACCCAGATGCACAGATTTCCAAATTTGCTGTACCTCATCTATATAAGCATTTAGTGCTTTATAATATATCCAAACCAATGATTGATATCCTTTTTTGTCCCCATGGGAAAAATAAAGTAAACCCTCTTTGATTTCTATTGTTCTACGTATTATTATTATTTTATTATTTATATAGCGCCAACAAATTCCGTAGCGCTGTACAATGGGTGGACTAACAGACACATAATGACAATCTTCTGTTCCTTAGCAGGTCTTAAAATTAGTCAAATACAACCTCAGATGAACAACACATGACCTACTACACTGTGTCATGATTAATTTAACAAAAATAGAAAAATGGAGAAGCCATGTGTGAATTCAATAGCTTGTAGAAACACCTTTACAACAATAACTTGAAGTAATCATTTTCTGTATGACTTGATCAGTCTCTCACATCGTTGAGGTGTTTTGGCTCACTCTTTGTTGCTTCAGTTCATTGAGGTTTGCTAGCATTTTTTTATGCACAGCCCTCTTAAAGGGTCCCTTCATACCCCTAAACAACTTAAAGGAGCAATATAGTGCCAGGAAAACAAACTTGTGTTCCTCGTACTATAAGGTCTTTAGGGTCCCCCCCACCCTCAGGGTCCCACTCGCGCTGGGCTAAAGGGTTTAAAACCCCTTCAGCCACTTGCCTTTCTCCAGCGCCGGGCTCCCTCGGCCCTGGGGAACTCTCCTCCTCCTGCTGACGTCAGCATTGAATGCGCAAGAGCCGCACGCGCATTCAAACCGCCCATAGGAAAGCATTATTCAATGCTTCCTTTGGATGTCCAGCGTTTTCTCGCTGTGATTTTCACAGTGAGAATCGCGGAAGCGCCTCTAGCGGCTGTCAGTGAGACGGCTACTAGAGGCTGGATTAACCCTCAGTGAAACATAGCAGTTTCTCTGAAACTATGTTTTCAGCTGCAGGGTTAAAACTAGAGGGACCTGGCACCCAGACAACTTCATAGAGCTGATGTGGTCTGGGTGCCTATAGTGGTCCTTTAAGCTTGCTGAAGAGCTTTGTGTGAAGAGTGTGTCTTCTTTGCAAAAGGAACAAAAAATTAAAAGTGCTGATTTTCAATAGAAATTGACAATTTCAATAGAATTGTAACCTGGTTACAGCCCCTTGGTTTTCTTACTTCCTGTTTTTTTTTTGTTTGTTTTTTTTGTTTTTTAGCTCAATGGAGCTGATCTCAAGAGGCAGCAATTGCCCAGAGCACCTTACTTGTGTCTGTGATTGGACAGCCACAGGGACGGAGTAACAAGGGGAGAGCTAGCAAAGGCCGCAGACAAGAGAACTGCAGGTTTTGCAAGCTGTTTTTAGATATATCTCCAATTAAAAAAAATCATCACCCCTCTACCACCTTACTTGATAGTTGGTATAAGTTGTTGTACCGATGTGCTGTGTTTAGTTTTTGCCGAACGTGGTGCTGTGCATTTATTGCCAAACATCTTAATTTTGGTATTGTCTCTCCAAGGACATTGTTTCAGAACTCTTGTGGTTTGTTTATATCAGGGGTAGCCAACCTTTTAATACCTAATGCCCACTTTTGTATCTTTCCTTACCGCCCACCAGTGCTGAAGTTACTAATTTTATAGCGCAAGTGCAATTAAATTTTTTTGCAAAAAAAAAAAAGATTAATTTAAGTACATATTTAATTTTTTTGGTGATGAGGGGGGGCAGTGTGTGTGTGTGGATAGTAGTGTGTGTGTGCATGTTTATTTATGAAGGGTGCCCAGGGTCTATGCTGTGTGTAGGTGGGTGAGATGTGAAAATCTATCTATTGTCTCCCCCTCCCTTCTTTTTACCTTTTTACCAGGGAATGGGGACATAATGCTGCCAGCCATGGTGGTTCAGTGGTGGCATGTTCACTGCGAGCACAGCACTGTATCGGAGCGTTGCCAGGTCCTTCCTTCCCTCTACTGGAACTAAGTGCCAGCGGGCTAGTGAGGGAGATCTTTGATCTCTTCACCAGCCTGAGGGGCTTACAGCAGGGCTGTGTCTGCTTGGGCCGGCAGGGGAGATGAAAGAATCTCCCTTGCCGGCCTTGGTCCACGGCCATCGAGGTCCACTGGGCATTTTCTGCAGAACCCACAACCTCCCATCTGAAATGCCAAACCTACCCACTACTGGGCGGTATGTTGACAACCCATGGTTTAGATGTAACTTTGCATATCTAAACTATGCTGCCATGTTCTTTTTAGATAGAAGAGGCTTTCTCCTGGCAACCCTTCCAAACAAACCATACTTGGTTAGTCTTTTTTTTAAGGGTACTCTCATAAACTTGTGCTTTAACATGTTAGAGGAGGCCTGTAGAGATGTAACTGTAGGTTTTTTTTTGTTTTTGCTTTTTTTGCGTTTTCACTGAGCACTGCATGGTCTGATTTTTGGTTACATTTGCTGGGATTTCCACTCCTGGGACGATTGGCAATTGTCTTAAAGGTTTTCAACTTTTGAGTACTCTTTCTCAATGTAAAATAGAGGAATTTATAAATTGTTTGGGAATGGCCTTGTAACCCTTCCAAGTTTGATGGGCAGCAACAATTGCTTATCGGAGATCTTTGCTGATGTCTTTCCTCTTTGGCATTGTGTTAACACACACCTGGTTGCCACAAACCAGGAAACCGCTATAAAATTGCGTCTTCTATAGAGGTTGTCACACTTGCTGATTTATCATTTTTATCCCAGTAGGTAGTATAAACTTTAGCGGGGGGACTGACCTCAGCACCCACCAGTCCTGTGATTAAGTACAAGAAAGTTGGGCTTAATTCTTAGAATTTTGGAACAAATCCCATTGAATCCATGCATCTTTCCAAAATTGTTGTGGAGGCATGTTAGCCCTGGGCATTTTTTCATATTTTTTTGCTTCATCTATTAATGTTATACATTGACTGATCCGGGGAATAGTTTGCGATTTCCATTGACGGCTAATAAGTGTCAATACCGCTAATAGTATATGGTATATTAGGTATCGTGGTGTTTTTGTGAGGTCCGGAGGCATATATTGTAAAACCTAATTCTCTGGGCGTTTTTCGAAGTTAATTCCTGTAGCCGCTTTAATCAGAACCTGTATTTCCGCCGAGCACGACCACCATACATGAAGCATGGTGCCAGAACCGGCTCCGCATCTCCAACACAGGTTTGTACATGCAGAGTTTATTCGTGCCAGTCGTGTAGGAACTAAGTACCAGCGATATAATAGTTTCCTTGTAAGTTCTATGTGAGACGTGTTAAGTGTATGTTTCTTATTTGCATTTAGAATATAAGCCCACTGATGGGGTGTCAATTCCATGCCTAGTTCCAATTCCCACGCTTTGACAAATGTCAGACTATGTGGGTCCTGCTGGGAAAAATGAGAGTTGTATAGGAGGGATAGTAATTGTTGTGGCTTTGAGGTTTGTGAACATAAGTTCTCTATCATTGATAGGTTTTCCCATCTCGCCTCGGTGGGTAGCATGTTTTTGTTTTTGCGTAGCCAGGAGGTGATTTGTCTGTACGGAAAGGTAGTCTGAGTTAGGTAGCTGATAAGTGTGTTGGAGCGCTTTAAAGGGTATAAGGTCCCCTCGGTTGTACATCTGTCGTAAGTATATTAGGCCATGAGATTTCCAAGTATTCAAGTTTAAGGAGGGTATCATGCTATAGAAAGACTCTAAGAAAAAGATGGGAGAGACTGTCATATTTAATCCTTGTTTTGAATCGAATTTGTCCCACTCCCGCAAGGATGTAGCTGTAAGTGACGTCATATCTTTATATTTTTTCCTAATTTGTGGGGGTATCCAGGCTAAATGTGTTATATGCTGTCCTTCTGTAAATTCTGCTTCTAAAGTCACCCAAAGGGAGACATGGCTAAATTGATGTAATTCGTTAAGCAATTGTCAGGAAACTGACAGGGATCCAATACGCAGAGTGCGCACAGAAGGAGGTACGTATACCGGACCTTAGAATGGCCGGACTAACGTAAGGACAAAGCAAGAATAGTCAAAAGGTAAGCCGAGGTCAAGGGAGCCGGAGGACAGGTAAGCGAGATACAATCCGAGTCAAAGGAGAGGAGAGGACAACAGGACAAAAGGCAAGCAAGGGTCAAAACCGGAAACACTAGATAAAGAACGCGCTGAGTGACTAGCAAGCTAGAACCACGACAGGGCAATGAGCAGTAGTAAAGGTTTCCTTTAAATACCCTGTTACCTAAATAGAGACCACGCCCCCAAAAGGTCCGGAATAGCGGTTCCCGGCACTTTATGCAAATGCCGACGTCATGACGTCGACGCTAGCCGTCGCGTCATAAAAGGGGGAGGAGCTAGCGCGGCCGGCGCGAAAACGGCCGGAATATGCCGAAATGCTAGGGGAAGGGAGCCCCTAAGCAGAGAGGATGTCCTCCCTGGATACATCACCAACAGGTACCCTGACAGTACCCCCCTTCTAGAAACGCCCACCGGGCGGATGGGACCTGGCTTAGAAGGAAAACGAACGTGGAAGGCCCGTAGAAGACGAGGAGCATGCACGTCTATACCAGGAACCCAAGACCTCTCTTCTGGACCATAACCTTTCCAGTCTATGAGGTATTGCAGCTTCCCCCTAGAAATACGAGAATCAAGGATGGACTTGATGATATATTCCTCCTGACCATCCACACGGACCGAGGATGGAGGAGTAGAGCGGGAGGAAAATCTGTTACAAACAAGAGGTTTCAATAAAGACACATGAAAAGAGTTAGGGATGCGTAGAGTAGGAGGTAGATCCAGCAAATAAGAAACCGGGTTGATCCTCCTCAGTACCCTGTAAGGACCAATGTAACGAGGAGCAAACTTCAAGGAAGGAACTTTCAGGCGAATGTGTCTGGTACACAACCAGACCCTATCCCCCGGAGAAAAAATAGGAGCAGGACGTCTACGCCTATCAGCATGTGACTTAAACACCGCGGAACTACGTTCAAGAATTTGTCGAGTCTGATCCCACAACTTTCTCAGGTTGGCTATATGAATATCAACCGACGGTATACCCTGGGAAGGAGACACCGACGGAAGAACAGTAGGGTTAAAGCCATAGTTCAAGAAAAAGGGGCTATTATGAGTGGAACCACAAACAAGGTTGTTGTGAGCAAACTCCGCCCAAGGAATCAGACCGACCCAGTCATCCTGGTGTTCAGAAACAAAACAACGTAGATATTGCTCAATTTTTTGGTTAGTGCGTTCGGCTGCTCCGTTAGATTGAGGATGATAGGCCGAAGAAAAATTCAGTTTGATGCCCAACTGTGAACAGAAGGATCTCCAAAAACGGGAAATAAATTGGGAACCCCTGTCTGACACAATCTCATTGGGAATACCATGTAAACGGAAAATTTCTCTAGCAAATATCACGGCCAGTTCGGGGGAGGACGGAAGTTTAGGCAAGGGAACAAAATGAGCCATTTTAGTAAACCTGTCAAGGACCGTGAGGATAACTGTATGCCTATTGGAAGCTGGTAGATCAACAATAAAATCCATAGCCAAACAAGCCCAAGGTTTGTTGGGAGCGACTAAGGGCTGCAATAAACCACAAGGGAGATCCCGCGGAAGTTTATTCCTGACACAAACATTGCAAGCCTTGACAAAGTCTTCCACATCCCTACGTAAACCGGGCCAGCAGAAGTCTTTTGAGATCAGGCAGTAAGTTTTGTGGATGCCGGGGTGACCAGCGATCTTGCTATCGTGGAAACAGCGAATAATGTCCACTTGGAATTTGGGAGACACGAACAAGCGGCCCACAGGAGTACGTTCGGGAGCAAGGGATTGTTCGTTCTGAATATCAGCGAGCAATGGAGAGTGTATTTTGACATTGGTGTTGGCGATAATATTGACTTCAGGAATAATAGGGAACAAAGTATCCTCTGTAGAGGTGGTAGGTTCGTGCTGACGTGACAAAGCGTCTGCTTTAGTGTTCTTAGAACCAGGCCTGTAAGTAAGCACATAATTAAAGTGTGTAAGGAACATAGTCCAACGTGCCTGCCTGGCAGATAATCTTTTGGCCTCCCCCATATACGATAAATTTTTGTGGTCAGTCAAGATAGTAACTGGGAGGACGGTGCCCTCTAACAAATGTCTCCATTCCTTTAATGCCATAATGATAGCTAAAAGTTCTCTATCACCAATGTCATATCTCCTTTCAGTGTGTGACAGTTTCTTGAAAAAAAAACCGCAAGGGTGCAGCGGCTTATCTAAACTTTGTCTTTGGGATAACACTGCGCCTATCCCTGTTTCAGACGCATCAACTTCAAGTAAAAAGGGTAGAGAGGTATCAGGATGAACTAATACAGGTGCTGAGGCAAAAGACTGTTTGAGCGTTTCGAAAGCAGATAAAGCCTCAGTAGACCAGGTTTTGGTATTGGCTCCTTGTTTGGTCATATTAGTGATAGGAGCGATAACAGAGGAGTACCCTTTAATAAAACGTCTGTAATAATTAGAAAATCCAAGAAATCTTTGTATGGCTTTGAGTCCCTTTGGTAAAGGCCAATCTAAAATCGATTTTAGTTTGGTCGGGTCCATCATAAACCCGTCTTTGGAAATTACGTAACCTAAGAAAGTTACCTGAGACTGGTCAAAGCTACATTTCTCCAATTTACAATACAATCCATGTTGTAAAAGTTTCTGTAATACCTTTCTGACTTGTCTATGATGTGAATTAATGTCTCTAGAATGGATTAGTATATCATCCAAATATACAATTATACATTCATGTTGGAATTCTCTAAGAACTTCATTGATCAAGTCTTGGAAGACGGCCGGGGCGTTACAAAGCCCAAACGGCATTACGGTATACTCATAATGCCCGTAACGGGTATTAAATGCTGTCATCCATTCATCTCCTTGTTTAATTTGCACTAAGTTATATGCTCCCCTTAAGTCAAGTTTAGTAAAAATACTCGACCCCTTTAGTCTGTCAAAGAGTTCAGTAATCAAAGGAATAGGGTAAGCATTTCTGATAGTAATTTTGTTCAATCCCCGATAGTCTATACAAGGACGTAAGGTACCATCTTTCTTTTCTACAAAAAAGAAACCCGCCCCCGCCGGAGAAGAAGACTTTCTAATAAATCCCTTGTCTAAATTCTCCTTGATATATTCCTCTAAAACTAAATTCTCCTTGGTGGATAGAGGGTATACCGTACCCCTGGGAGGCATAGTACCAGGGAAAAGTTTAATAGAACAGTCATAAGACCGGTGGGGAGGTAAAGTATCCGCTTTACCCTTGTCAAATACAGATTTGAGGTCTAGATATTGTAATGGTATCTGAACGTCTGTGGATTGAGAAGTGTTAGCATAAGAGTTTACGGGGCAAACAGAAGTAACTCTCTGCAGACATTCTTCCCTACAACCCATACCCCAAGAAACGATTTCTCCACCCTCCCAGTCAATCTGAGGGTTGTGTCTCTTGAGCCAAGAATATCCTAGAACCACTGGGACTGCCGGGGAGGAAATTAACAGAAGGGAAATCAACTCTTCGTGGAAAATACCAACAGTAAGCTTAACGGGTTCGGTCTCATGGAATATTACTGGTTCAGATAAAGG